GTGTGTGTGTGTGTGCTGGGAATGCCAAGACCAACATCAAATGCTTACTTGTTATTTTCGAAGCCATCCGGATTCGATTCATTCGCCAGTGGATACGACGGAACACCCCCCGCCGTGTGCGACTTGAATAGCTTGTTCCCGTAACCATGGTAACCTTCCGGGTTGGAGTTTGGTTTGGGCTTACTACTACTCAGGGGCAGCCCCAGCACCTCAGGCATTATCCCTGCAGAACCGTTGTTCTCGCTATAGTACCGTGGGGAAATCAAGGACCGGTCCCGTGCCTCGTCCAGGACACACCAGTTCCTGCTTAGCACATCTCGGTGCACCTGGTTGCTCGTCTGGCTGTGTGGGCGGGTGTGGGTGTGGGTGTAGGTGTGGGTGTGGGTGTGGGTGTGGGTGTGGGTGTGGGTATAGGTAGTACCTGGGCTCTGGTTGCTATCCGCGTTGACTCCGTGTCCAGCCATGCGGCTGTCCGGAGACGCCGCCGTACCTACTACTGAGTGCATACTATCGTTACTATAGCCGTGTGTGTACCCCGCCGCCAGACTACCATAGTCGCTTTCCACCTGCACGTACTCGTCTGCTATGCTGTGGTAGTTACTGTCTACCACACTCTGCTTGATGGCCTGGTCGCCAGTGCGCGTACCATTCGTCAACAACGCCGGTACAGTATTCCCCCCGCCGGGTACACACATCTGCGGCCGAGCCCCACTATAGGCCTCTCCATATGAACCATACACCCCGGCCATCCCACTCCCCCTGTCTGCGGGCCTGTGGGTGACATTCGTGCCACTATACCAAGTCCCGTCCGGTTGATACCCCGAGTCACACCCAGGCAGGTCACTGTCCAGAGGACTGTCTACATGCGCACCATCATCGACATGTGTTCGAGGTTCGTGCTTCCCCAACCCCGGTCTGTTGATACCAAGTCCCAACCCACCCGTGTCATCCCTTGCACTCTCGGAGTTGGTACCAGCTCCGAGGCCGCTCCCAATGGGCCACGGGTGTGTTATCGGCTCGTCCATCAGATCTAGATCTAGATCTCGTACGGGCACTGGAGGGTTATACCTCGCCCCGTCCGAGACAGTCAACGGTGAGCTCTGCACAGGCGACTGGGACCGAACTTCCCCATTGATCACCTGCTGTATGGATGCAGACACTGCACTGGCCGGGTACAGCCCCTCATTGTGTGGTATCCCGGTATGATTTTGGGTAATACTGGGACGAGAGTTCGATCTCGCGGTAGGCGTAGTTATACCCAGTGCACGCACGGTGTCTGTTTGCGTGTGCGTCGTCCGCCGCCTTCGCACTGTATCGTGTGGTGGTCTGGCAGGGGGAGTGTCCTCGTCGTGCGCGCGTTGAACAATAGCTGGTGACAGGTCAGTATTAGTCTGCCTGAGTGTGGTATTAGTTTGCACCGGATCCACAGGCGCCTGTAGCCGCAACTCACTGAGTTGTGCGGGTGAAAGCCCCGTTGTGGGGGTGGGAGGGTGGGTGGGTGACATACTTACACCTCTGCCACCAAACCTGTCTGCCTGTGCCTGTATGTGTGTCTGAGAGGTTTGCTTGTGCAGTTGGGCCGAGGTCGCACCCTTGGCCGGCCGGCCGGGCGGGCGCTCGTCTGTCGGGTCGTGCAGCGTCTGGGCCTTGCGCACATCCACAGTCGAGCTACCATGCTGGCTATACCCACTCGCGGTACTGGGCAAAGACTTTGCACCGGCAAAGGCCAACACATCACCTTGGGAATACGCTCGGGGCCGCCTCAGCGTCTGTGTCTGTGTTTCGGCTACCGCGTGGTTAGGTAAGGGTGTTGCGTCCTGCACACTCTCAGGTAACGGTACTTGTCCAGTGGCACGCGTAGAGATGTTCTGTGTAGTGCCGTGTGTGGTGAGACGGGCGCCCCGGTGTTCTTGGCCCTTTGTGTTGAGGATGGCTTGGTCCTGCGCTGCGACTGAGCCAAACAGCTCAGCGCGTGACTGGCGCTCTGGTTCGACACCGCATGGGGTACCGAACTGTCCGGTGGATGGTATGGTGTTGACAGCACCCAGCAGGCTGGAGCTTGGTACTTGTTCGTACGAAAGGATGTGTGAGGACAGGCCTGTACCTACACCTGTGACTATGCCTGTACCTGTACCTGTGCCTGTGCCTGCATCTGTACCTCTGCCTGGGTTAGGCGGTGTGTGGGGGTGTGTTGTGCCATCGATGGTCTTGGTTTGTGCACAGTGAGACGCTCCGTTTGTCGAGAGGGGTGTGACGTACATACCATGCACTGTCCGGGTACCCTCTGGCGGGCTCATTGAACCCACCCCCCTTGACCTTTGTGCTACCTGCGTTGTTTGAAGCACACTTTCCGCACACACATCACTCGTCTCCACAGCACAGCCGCTGTCGGTCCTCTCCCCCACGCCCCGCCCGTCCCCGCCAGCCAAATTCCCCACATATGTGTGTGTGTGTGCGTGGGCCAGATGTCGGATGCCAACAGGTGTGCGTGCTACAGCGAGACGGTGTAACCTGTCCGCTATTTCAGGTTTTAAGGGCAAGGCGGCGGGGCTACCCGGACCAGCCAGCGCACGAGTGTATGTGAAAGTGTGTTCCTGCAGGTGCGAAGTGTGGCCTTGAGATCTGGTCTGCGCATGGGTGTGCAGCATGCGTGTCTCGGTTGGAATTCCTGCCAGTTGATTAGCGCTCCCCGTCGTCTGGCCGTGATTTACAGACATCTGATTGGCGGATACACCTGCTTGTACGCCTGAGGATGATTGTGATTGGGTGCGGCGGGGTAGTAGAGCATCGTCTCTGGGCCGTGGCGATACCGGAGGCATTTCTGAGACACGTCGCGTGACAGGTGGGAGTTTCGGTCTGCTGCCACCGGTGCTGGGCGGGTTGAGTACCATGTGTACAATCACCTTGGAGACAATGCTGCTCAAAGGAGTGGGAGGGGAGCAACTGAGTAAATGACCAAGTTAACTAGGTAGAACAAAAGTGGTGAGGTATATACGTATGCAAATGAGTAAACACAACTAGAATCAATAAAGTGTATTAAAACAACCCAACTATGTAGAGACGAACACACACACGCACACACACACACACACACATATATATATATATATATACATATATATGTGTGTGTGCGTATA